CCTTTATGGGCTCATAAAGGCCCGGGGGTTTCCCTGGAAACTGAGCCCTGGTCTAGCTTGGGGGGGCTTCTGCGGGGGTGGGGGGCCTGGGCCACTGCCCCCAAAAACTTTCTGCCTTGGGACATGAAGTCCCAGCCTGGGGTCTGCAGGTGTCCAGGCAGCGCAAAGAAATGGCAGTGGGAGCACAGGGGAAGCTGAAGCGTGGTCCTCACGAGGCAGAGAGGGGAGCTTAGAAATGCTGATAAATGTCTGCAGGGTGGGGGTCAGGAGGACGGGGCCAGACTCTTTCCAGTGGTGCCCAGCGACAGGACAAGGGGCAATGGGCACAAACTGAAGCAGAGGAAGCTCCAGCTGAACCCGAGGAAGAACTTCTTCCCTCTGAGGGTGACGGAGCCCTGGCCCAGGCTGCCCAGGGAGGCTGTGGAGTCTCCTTCTCTGGAGATATTCCAGCCCCGCCTGGCCGCGGTGCTGTGCAGCCTGCTCTGGGTGACCCTGCTTGGGCAGGGGGTTGGGCTGGGTGACCCCCAGGAGGTCCTTTCCAGCCCGGCCGCGCTGGGATTCTCTGATCCTTTCCCTCTGCCGTGTGTATGCTTGGAAGCAAATTAGCGCTGAGGTTTTTACGAAGCGTCCTGCTAAGCGTTAATCTCACCGTCGTGCACGCGTGTGAGCTGCTCTGCAGATCCCTGCCGGCTTCAGCGGGGCCATGCACCGGTGGCCAGCAACCTCTCCCACTCCAACGCGACCCGCGCGTCGTCAGGGTTTGGGGTTTTTCTGATGCAAAACCTTGAACAGTGGGACTTGGCCCCAAATCATTTCTTGCTTCAGGTACAAAAGAAAGTGTCTAGCGTTGCCAACAATCCTCTGTGTCATACGAGCAAAACCAGAGAGTTAATGAGTAACATAGGTCATTAATAAATGCTGGGACTTCTGCAGAACTCTAAAGACAAAATAGCTGTCAAAACATTAACTCTGAAACACAGCTTGGAGCTTCAGGGTAAGGTCATCCTGTCTTGCATCGATTTCTACTTCCACCACACTTTGAGAGTCAACATGATGCAGATTTCTTTTTTTGGTGATAAATTTCACCTATTTATCACTTTGAAGTTATGCTTTTCACAATCTTTTTTTGCTGCAAAGTACAAATTGGGGCAACAGATCAAATCACCCGTGAACAATGAAAAATGAGTATGGTATTTCAAAAGGAAAATCTAATTGTGGCATAAATTGTCAGGCAGCACTTCAATAAAGTGAAATAACCTGAATGGCAAATGGGGAAAGAAAAGGAGAGTTATA